TAAAATAATAAATTTATGATGAACAGCAAGTTTACAATTATTTAAAATGTGTATACATTTTTGGAACACCCTGTATGTAGTGGTGCGATACATATACTTTGAAATCATGAAGTAAAGGTCATGGTTGTCCGGAGATAGTCCTGCGGTGGGAATCTTCGGTTATCAAAAATTAAGTAATCAACCTGCCATTTGAACACGGCACCAGTATCCAACGCCATTATTTAGCTTGGAAGGGAGGTCCACGGTCAAGCCACCTGTTGACTGAAGGAAAACATACGAAGGCCTCAATGTGCTCATTTACGTTCGACCTTGTACGGGTGTCCACGCCGGTGAGTCATTTTTGTAAACCCAAAGAAATCTTTAGTTTTCAGCGAACAGGAATCTCTGTAAATAAAACGGACTGTCCATAGCATTTCGCACTTCATTTGTCTATAGGATAGAGGAACCAGGTTAGGCCTAATAAATCTTTCAGGATAAGACATACTTCTAAGACCTGACAAAAGTTTTGTTGTACGTCTTTGCACCTGCTCAGTGGGATCATTGTCTTTCTTCATCCAGAATATCCAAGCTGACATTCCGTATTCCAAATGCAGTCTAACGAGTGACCTGAAGATCAGCGCAATCAGTTCAGGTGGAAAGCCTGTGGATGAATGCCTGCTCCAATACATGATGCTCGTCGGCTTTGGGTGGCCCCCTTCTGATGACCAGAGGGCAGTCAGTTGGAATTCGTCAAAATACTGAGGTCTTTATGTGTGTTTGCTTCCTCTACTGGAATCCCCTTCAGACAATACTGGAGTTAGAGGAAACGTCTCCGCATACATTCCAAACGTAGGACTAAACATCTGGATATAGTAAATGTCAGGAGCCATGTGCTGGACCACACTGTCAGTTTATCAAGGTTTTCCTTTATTTTTTTCGCGCCGCCCACAGATTTAATGATTTTGTAAACAGTAATAGCAGCTGCAATCACGATACAGTCCAGACACTCTACGCAGCCGTTTATATAAAGGAGGAACAGATGATGACCTAAGTCTGATCGCTGTAGAACACCACTCTCTACTAATACCCATTCGGATTCTGTGCTTCCAACAATTAGCTCTTTCAGCCTAGAATTTCCGCAAAGGCTGCGCGCATTTCAAATTCCACTTCAATTTCCGACCTCCAAGGGATTTCAAATTTCATCGAGATCAAGGCTATTAGACGATTGCACAGCCTGTCAAGACTAAGAATTCACTTCGACTGATCAATATCGTCCCTCTCGGAAATCTCCAACAGGACTCAGCTTTCGGATTATATCCTTCTCTGTTTATACTGCTTATTCACCCGGGAAGACTATTCCGCCGCCGATCGATACAGCTGGAACTACAACAAAGACTGAGTCGTTCTTGGTAACAGTTGATCTGCTTTATATTTCGGCATATAATGAAGACCGAACTGAACTACGTACCGCGTGTTTCAAATTCGACCTCCGTTTTCGACCTTAAGGGAATTTAATT